ATCATCATTTGTAGGTTCCAAAGCAGCAGCAAGGGCAGCCGCAGCAGAGTTCGCATCATGAAGCAATTGCAGGTCATATGGACGATTGGATCTAGTGGGTAACCTATGTGATCCGCCTCTCTCCGGTCGTCTCCCTCTTTGTCCCGCATCCTCTGTCGGAGGGCCGCGTTGAGAAGGATCATCCACCGCTGTTTCCCCCCCCACGACATCTCGATTTTCAACTTCTCCCATGGCGTCATCAGCGTCATCCGGTGGGAGCAAGCGATTGAGCCCCGCACCCACATCATCAGGGGGTCCGAAGGGGACAGTGGAGTCCTCAGTCATCATGCAGGAGGGGTCAGGAGGGCAAAAGAAGAGAGAGAGCGGCGCCAGGGTCGCAAGCAGGAGGGCAGTAGCACGGCTCAAGGGAGTCCCGGGTAAGATCAGTTGGTGGGTTTCGGGTTTAGGTACTGGGTTTCAGTTCTAGCCAAAGATAGGTTTAGGGTTTAGGGTTTAGGACTCATTGATATATCTCCAACTTTTGAACACCCCCGGGCGGGGTTTCGGAATTCCAAGCTTTGTTTAGGGTTTAGGGTATAGAGGGCTTCGGGCTTGCCTCGGCATTCCTTGAGCCAAAATGGCTATGCAGGGTTTAGGGTTTAGGGGTTTGGGGATTCACACTCGAAAAGTACTATGACAACCGCTAGGACTACCGAAAAAGGAATTTTCTTTTGAACATCTACATGGGTGGCAGGGCTCGATTCAGCACAAAGCTCTGAAAGTCTTGAGCTTGGGCTTCCGCCCAGGTCGAGGGCTGACTCTCAAACACGCTGTGGAAACGACCTCACCATGTCACGTTGGGCATTGGAAGTTGGTTCAAGACCGGTGTTGCCTGTCATGTACCGATTTCAGTATCAACCACTACTAGTAGCTTGCTATACCCCAAGCTCCGAACCCCTTTTTTTTGGTATTGGGCTGTAGGCGAGCCAGACACCCCGAAAGACTGCCACCCTCAACCTCTCAATCTGCCCTACTGAGCCCTTTCTTGAACAGGGACTGCAATGCACTAAGCCCCAAACCCGGAACCCTCAGTCGGAGAAGCCTGGCCGGAGTAGAGGACCACCTCCGAAAGGCGTGCCAGAAGCCCAAAGATGGGCCAGCCCTTGGCTGGGCTGTTCTTCAAGGCGAGACAGCTCGGTGGTTCCTACCCCCTTCACAGGGAACTTCTGAACCCCAGAAATTGAGAAAGGACGAGGCAATTAGCATCCCCTTGCAAGGCACGAACAACCACAACTCCGAAACCGATAAGAGATGGAGGAATGCCTGCAAGCGAAAGGTTGTTTTGGCTGCTGCATGCCTGAATGAATCGCTGGGTGACGGGTGAACGAATCGTTGGGCAGGGTGACGAATTGCTAAGCGCATCGCCAGGATAATAGCTCATCATCGTCATGCTTTGGGGCATTTCGCCCATCTATATCCAAAAGATTGAGTACAAAGCAGTTTAGCTGCTGTCTCCTGTGGCAACAAGTCACACCAGTCATCTTCCAAAAGATGACGTAGGGAAGACTGACATTCAAGGCAAAAACGCCTGAGAATCAGACTCAGGTGTACAAATACGCTCGGGAATCAGACTCAGGTGTACAACGCAGTTTAGCTGCTGTCTCCTGTGACAAAAAGTCACATCAGCCATCTTCCAAAAGATGACGTAGGGAAGACTGTCATTCAAGGCAAAAGCGCCTGAGAATCAGACTCAGGTGTGCAAATACGCCCGGGAATCAGACTCAGGTGTACAACGCAGTTTAGGTGCTGTCTCCTGTGACAAAAAGTCACACCAGTCATCTTCCAAAAGATGACGTAGCCAAGACTGTCATTCAAGGCAAAAGCACCTGAGAATCAGACTCAGGTGTACAAATATGCCCGGGAATCAGACTCAGGTGTACAAATTGCGAAATGAATTTAAATATGAATATATGAGTATATATATATATATATAGGCATGCAAGCATTCGCACTCAGGCCAGGCTTTGATCCCGCGTCACCTACAATCTGCTCCTCCTACTCCTTGTCCTTCTCCAGTAGCGCCTTGCCTTTGCCGCATGAAAGCATCTCGCACAGGCTCTGGCAGCAGGTCCGGGCGTTGACGGTCCTGATCTGCTGGTCGTCCCGCTTGGCTTGCCCTGATTTGCTTTTACGGCAGCAGATTCCGGAGACGACTGAGAAGACTGTATCCTCCCACTCAACGATTGATGCAGCACAATGGTGTAATGCCACGAAGATGAGGATAGAGGAAACGTTGGACGCAAGCGCAGAGAAAAAGGCTAAGATTTCCCGAAAAACCCTCCTCGCCACAGGCCGACTGTCCAGAAAACACTAGAAGGGCGCCGAACGACAGGTACTCGATCAACCTGACCATCACAAAAGCGGTCTTGTGGCGAGGATCCCTGTTGAGCGTCGCGACCACTGGAGCTGCAGTCACAGCAATAGCAAAGCACCCGCCGATCAAGGTCCAGAAGATCGCGATCAAGGCCAGAAAGGGAGAGTATGCAAGAAACCCAAGCACAGCCAGAAAGACTACGAACACAAGCGCTATTGCCAGGCCTATGGGAGTAGCAATGCACCAGAAGAATTTCACGATTCTCAGGAAGCATGGCAGGCAAGGCAAGCATGCTTCTGCACACTCAACGTCCCAGTCCTGTGGACCGTCTGAGGTTTCAGGCAACGGCGGGGACTGGGAGCCTGAAAAAAGAAACCGCAGTGCTTCAGGGAGCTGTGCGACACTGCGGCGGGCCAAACCTACTAACCAGCAGATCGCTCTCAGCAGCGCCCGCAGACCCAACCAAACAAGATGCAATATCACACAAGTCGTCTCCCAAAAGCTGAGCGCAACCTGACAAACGGCAAAGATGATGGCCAGCGGAATCCCAATCGGCCTGACCACCTCGGAGAAGCCCAAAGCATAGGCCCCACATCGCAGCAGGGTGTCCGACACCAAGTAGATCCAGAAGAAAAATTTGCCAATCATGGAGTCGTGAAGTAGTGAGAGCACCTTTATGGGAGGATTCTTTTCATGCAAAGGATCTTCTGCAAGAGTTTGCCCTTCCGGAGGTGCTGCAGACGATCCCAGCATCATAGCTGGAGGGTCAGTCAGACGAGCCTGGTCATCCACTTCCCCTCTACGACTCTGTCGGCTGGCCGCGACCGACTGCCGGTAGGTTTTGCGTTTCGCATTCTGTCTGGCCTTCGCCTTCGCCGCGACATACAGTAGCATTGACATGAGCTCCCGTTGTTCAAGAAGAGGTGCCTCTTCCTCATGACCAACCTGGGACTCCTCAGCTGGGGCTGGGCTGGGCTGGGCTGGGCTGGGCTGGGCTGGGCTGGGCTGGGCTGGGCTGGGCTGGGCTGGGCTGGGCTGGGCTGGGCTGGGCCGCCTCTTCAGGAGGATCGTGTGCGGCCGGCTTTGGTGCATCATCGGACTCAGTCAACGGGTCAGACGAGTCATCTTCGCGTTCGCCGCCTCTCCAAATCATCTTCTCTGCCTCTGTTAACTCTGGGAGACTGACCAGTAGAGAAGTGGACAGACTGAGGATCGAGACAGTCAGGGAAAACACTTGTAGCGGCTGGCCATGTGATCCAGTTGCAAAGAGCACGTAGGCTTGGAAGAATGCTTGCGGGGCTGACTCAACCAGCTTGATGATTGTCTCTCTTCTCAATATATTCATCTTCTTCTCCTTATCCATGAAGCGGTTCCCGTGGCGCAACATGTGCAGTAAGTCCATGAACGGTGCCAGCTGCAAGAGTGACGCCACGAAACTTATCGCAGCGGCAAAGCTTCGTACGCCATGAGATTTGACTCCTTCACGCCGTCTGTGGCTGTACATCGCGGCCGAGCCTATGGACGAGCAGCCGAGAATCAATGCGCTAATGGCAAGCCACCACGGGTGGACCTCGCAGGTCTCGCTGGTGTCGCTGTCCAACGCGGAGGTGGCATTACAGTCTGTCCGCAAAGGCTTGCCGAACAGGCACCCAAACTGCAGCAGAACAAGAATGTCTGTCACCATGTCGACGAAGTTGAGGCAGGCAAAGAACCCTGTCTTCAGGAACAAGAAACAATCGAAGTCTGCATCCTTCTTCTCCTTGGGGGCTGAAGCCATGCTGCACAGAACTGATCTGAGCTTTGGTCCCCAGCAAGTGCCCTGGCCGAAACTGCCCTGAGCCCAAGCAAAACTGTGCGGCTCGGGGTGAAACATACGGGGGAAGGGAAGTTTTGAACTATCCCAACCTTGCCACCTTGGTAGTAAAGGCGGAGAGGGGCTGGATAGATTTGCATAATGAGGTAGACTACCTGGAACCAAACGACCTCTAAGCGACATCAACAATTTGCCTGCTTGGTGCCTTCCAACTTCTGAGGTGGCGCACTCGTGTAACACGGGCCACTCCAGACTCCACAACATCCCCACTCCCACACTCTCCCCTGTGTCCTGAATGCATTTCCCGGCACCCAGTACATCGGACTTTTTGTAGGTTCGAATTACAAGCACCAAAAATTCAGGTTCAATCAAGGTAGGATTATATGCGGTTTCTGCAGCCAGGAAGCAGAGTGCAGCAGCTCAGCAAAGCTCATGCCAAGCTTGTTCAGTCGATCGCCGGCGACGAAAAGCATCCCGTGGCCTCTGCTTCGAGCGGATTTAGGCCTGGTGTGGAAATCCATTAGCAACATGCTCGGCAAGACACAACAGCTTGTGGCAGGGTGTTCTTTTTGCCGGGAGGCGCTTTGATTGATTCTTGCAGTTGGAGCGGGTAGTATTTTTGTTTAGGGTGTTTGGGCTGGTCTTGTTCTGCTGTTAGGGCGTGCGCGTATATGCGCATGTTTGATCGTCTGTTGCTGTTCACTCACGTGCTGCCTTGCCGTGTCTTTGGCTGCAGTGTACGACCGCAGCAAAACAACAAAATCGCCGCAGCAGCAAACAACATCACCCGTTCCTCGCGATTCCCAAGATGGTCACTTCCGTCAAGCTGCAAGTGTCTGCGCTAGTTACACGACAACCCACGAAAGAGCGTCATGTTAGCCACTGAACACGTATTGGCTGTGGGCTCATCACTGTCACCTGATCAGGAGCTTGATGCCTCCACTTGTTCCTTCGATGGGGATCGGCCCTTAGCTGCAGCCATGTCTCGTTCTCCCGGTGTCAAGAAGCTCAAGGAGAACAAGTCTGTAGCGACCTCCCACTCTTGGTCATGGGGAGTCGGGCGGGTACCTGACCTTTCTCCATGTAGCATAGTCAGGTTTTAGTCGCACATGGAACTGGAGCAGTTTACCTCGCAGCTGGGCATGTTAAAATTCCAGATGCGCATCACCATCTACAAACTGACTCGGCATCGTTCATCCCACTCCAACGTTCGTACAGGAAGCGTTGCAAGGGCAGAAGCCTCAACCCAATAAGGTGATCAAACCATATTATATGGGCTTGAACATGCCATCCAAACGCAACTTCCTTTTTGTCTTTGGGTGTCCAAGCCCACATACTAGGAGTTGATGTTGGTGGAACTATCGCTATAGTTCTTGCTTGTCATCTTCTTGACTACTACTGTATTGCCAACGGCCCCAAATGTTTCCCACATCTTGCTATCAATATTCTTCTTACAATTATAATCAGATTTCCCCCACCTGCCCGAGTCGGCATGGGTTTTGCATCTGCGCCAGCTGCAAGTTGCGCTCCTGCGAGTTGCTGATGAGGCCTGCCGGTCACTTAGGATTGGGACTCCCTAAACTCAAAAAGCCCTGCACCCCAATGCCTCGATTCATCCCCACCCCAATCCCTAAGGCCCCAAGTGCTAGTTAGGCCAGGCCCAAAACCCCAAAGCACTGAACCCGGCCCGGTGGTCATGCGGGCAGGGGCTTAATGTAGGCACCTTAGAGGTTGGAGCAGGGCTTTGGGGAGTACACTGTGGTGACATAACTACTGACAAGCGGACTGGAAGGGGATACTTACAGTGATGTCTACTCAGACCTCCATGTCATGGGCTTCTTCAACTAGTCGCCTATGACATAGAGGTCTGAAAAATTAAGGGCTTAGGCTTTGAGTTTATAGCGTTTCGACTCTGGCAACTTGGCGTATCGGGCTTTTCTCCACAAGAAGCGCCACTAAATCAACCAGTAGGCTGTGAGAGAGCTTCGCCGTTGCTCCCTTGACGGCTAAAGCCTGGCAAGCATGCTTCTCGCTCAGCAGCTCCGCCAGCCGCGACAATGCCGCCGCCGTCAGATCATCGAAGCCGAGCTCTTCAGCGCGCCTCGCCACTTCCGGCAACTCCCGCAGCGTCCCGGCCAATGCTGTGGTTTCACAGGCGGCGCAAGCTCTGGCAACGTGTGTTTCGTCAAGCTGCAAGAAGTTGCCTTGCAGGAGGGCGAGAAGGTCAACTGCACATGCCGCATCGACATCAAGCTTCCCCGTGTAAAGGAAATGTAACAGTCGGCGAAACGCGCTTCTCGCAATCTCCAGCTTGGCCCCATCACCCCGCAAGCCCTGCTCCTCGACGAAGCCGAGATGAACGATGCCGTCGCGCTCCAGAAACTTTGACGAGAGTGCTGCGGCAAAAAAGCCGCTGCAGGCTCCAAGAACGAGGCGATGGGCTTCCAAACGCGGAGAGGCAGTAGAGTCGCCAGAGGCATCGTCGCGCCGACCAAGTACAAGAGTGACCATGTCTTCTTTGAGCCCACCTGGACCGCTCAGTTCCTCCACCAGGGTTGCCACATCATCTTCCAACACTGCGCCGGGAGGACCCCGCCCCACAACAGCTCCCGGTGCAACCTTGTGGCTGGACCAAGATGGTGTCTCCAAGGCTTCTTCAGACTTTTGTGGCGGAGGCTTGCTCGATATGTGGCCAAGAGTGACCAGCCAGCCATGGCAACATCGCTCCAGTGCACCCATCTCTGCCACCGATGCCACATGGCGGAGTTCGGAGACACGCTGCTCCAAGGAGTCCTGAATAACTATAGTACGACTAATACATTCTTCAATACATAATGTTCCTTGCTAGCCTTCAAAAAAAGCCGCTATAATATCTAACCCCAAAGCCCTAGTCTCATTGTTCGTCCTCTGCCTCTGCATCGGGGCCCGGACGGTCCCAGGGCAGTTGCGCTGTGTACAAGAAGGCCACCAAATCCTCCAAGCCAGTGCTCGTGATGCCAGGGAGGTGCAAAGTCCGTTGCTCTGTCACGAAACTACAGAGAGCAGGGCTGCGACACCGCAGAATGGAGCTGTGAACAAGCTGTGATGCGCTGCCATCACCGTGGAGTCTCACACAGTTGCCATAAGCCGCCGTCTCCTCAGCAGGCAACTGCCACAAACGATGCAGCCCGCAGGCGATGAGACTTGGTCGGTCTCTTGTCAGCACTAACTTTCGCCACGAGGTGTCATGATTCAGGTGCTCGATCCATCCGGCCCGATAGCCTCCTTGCCCATCCAAATGCCAGGACAGCCTCCGTGGGCCCTCCGCAATGTCGGCCCCGCCGCGCCGCTGAATCGCTTCTTCAGCAAAGCCGAAAGCACGTCCACGCTCCAAGTACCAAATCAAGCCATTGTGCTCAGTCTGCTGCCAGCGCTGGCAGTTCTGCAGCACGGCTTTGCTTCTTCCACAGGCACACGTGTCCAACACCAAGCCTGTCGTCCCATCTTCATCATGCGCTGCGCCTGCTAGAATGATTGAATCCTCGTCGATGGACTCGAGATCCTGTGCACGTGTTGCAGCTCGGTAGACCTCATTGTAATGCACCGTCCAACCCAAGAATGTCTCGAGAGGTGTCTCCTCCCGCACTCCAGCAAACGGAACACGATATGCACAGCTAGACTCCATTGCCTTTCGATTCTAGGAAGTCCATGAGATATGTAACGTAAGGGCCTTGACCATTAGAACATACATACTTATTTATTTATATATATATATATACATATATATATATAAGGTTATCCTTAAGAGTTGGAACATAAAATAGACTAGGGTTTTGGGATATCGTGTTTGCTCCAAGTATAGAGGGACAAAACAAGGGAATACGGTCAGCAAGCTATTCCGACCTCTATGGTGGTAACCCCGACCCGGTTTCCGCACTGAGATGAAGATCTGACCAGGCAAATCCCTGGCTTGCAGTTTTTTACCTGAGAATACGCAGCCGCTATCACAACTGCCTCTTATGCATGGTGCTGCTCGGCAGGAAGTCCAGTCTTGCGCCTACCTTCAGCTTTGGCCACCACTAAAAACTGCTTCAGCGCAGAAACGGCGATCAGGCCTTCTGATTAAACGTAGTAGTTCCATGCTACTGACTGAACCAGGGTACCAGGTTGGTGGCAGTGTCATACAACATATTGATTAAAGATTACATATTGCGGTATCGGTCGCGGGAGTGAACGAGAGCCCCAAGAACCCCCAAGGTGGACCTGGCTGCATCTGCAGCAGCCGCATCCTTGGCTCTTCGGATTGGAGGTACAGGCGTGCAAGCCCTAAACCCTGAGCCGAAGTCAAGGGTCTGCATGTAGGGCTATGGCCCTTAAAGTAATCCTATACTACCCTCATACTATGAACCTCCATCCGCGAAACGAAGCAGGAGAAGCTAGGCTCCCTGCGCAGCAATGCCGCCTGGGCCGATCGGGGGAATCGGCCGCGACGCCGGGTTTCGGCGCTTCTCGATTTGTGCACCGGTTTTCGAGGCTGGGTGCAGAGACTGGAACTAGATCACTGACCGACAACAGCAAAACAGGCCCGGAGAGGCGCATCGCATGAGGCCTTTGGGCCCATAAGCCTTAAACTTTGAGGCCAGGGTGCAGTAAGACCACACGCCTTGATCAAGGCCAAAGCAGCGCCGGCTGCGCATCACTGGTTCTGCCAACGTGGCATAGGTGATGAGATCCTGTTCTGGGAAGACATGAACTGCTGACATTGCATCTTTGACTGATGAAATTACATGTACATGTGCTTATGGTCATTTATACACATAAGAGCATGTGCATGTATACATATATATATATATATGCATATGTATATGTATGGCTATAAAGAAGTGTGTGGACATGTTGACTCAAGTCTATATGGGCTAGGCCAAGTCTAGATGCTCACGGCCAGAGGCAGGAAGTGCAAGCACCCCTAATTGAACTGAAATGCAGCACACACCCGCTGAGCTCCGAAACTCTCGGACCCAAGCTAACCGAGATTGACCCGTCTTCCCCAAGCAACAATCACAGCCAAAGCCCCGGCTCCTCACGCACGGCTGTCCAGTTCAGGGCTTGGCTTTCGCCGCATTGTGCTGGCCTGGATTTGGACTGGCGCGGGCAAGGCCGAGCTCGTGCGGCTCATGCACAACTGCAGAGCAAGCCTAGAGAATGTGCTGGAGGTTAAGGCCGTGGGCATTCCAGAGATTTCAGGTTTCGGGGCTCGGCCTACCTTTGCGGCTTCTACCACCAAGCGCCTCGCCTGGCAGCGCGCCAAAGAAGGCTGAACAGCACCAGCCTCCAAACGAATGAAAGCATTTTGGGGGCTCGAAGACGAGCATCAGAAAGCCCTGGTACCAGTGTATTGCAACTGCGCGGCAGCACAGAACCAGCTATCGAACTCACACAATTAATCATGAACAATGCAGAAGATTGGTCAGCACTGTGCTTTTTGTCGCGGGCAAAGCGTTAACTGTCAGCTTCCACTTATCCTCGAAGCTGGTTTGCAAGCCTCGGCTCGCATGACCACTCACTCATTAAATCATTCGCCAATCCCATGCTCACTCCTTCCCACCTTTCATATTGCAAGGGCTTGCTCATACAAAATGCCCCACTGTTGTCTGTGCCTGTGCGATAGAAACACTAGTAGCGAATTGCTGCAACAATGAGAATTTGTTCGCTTGAGCAGGGATAGTGTCCTGGATGCATCCATGGACCTTCATGGAACGAACAGATCACATGCTGTATGTGCGTGCTGTTTGGGCTTCCTACATGGCACGAGACTCAAGACATGTTGCCTTTCACATGGCAGCGCAAGAGCTTGGTGTCTCGCGGCCGTCCCCTTCAAACTCAGCATTGTAATATCATACACATGAAGGATCTCAGAAGATCTCCATTCACTCACTCTCCTTCAAGACCACATCAATGTAGCGGGTGTTGGTCCCAATCACACCTCGGCCACTCACCCTCGCAGGCCGGTCGCGCCTAAGAATCCGGACCAACATGTTGCGGCACTAAAGTCCAACAATCTAACTGTCTCCTGAAGGTCCTGAAACCTCTCAGCAGGACGGCCCAATCATGAGCTTGCTCTATCAGCGCAATACCTCATACATAGACCTGAACTGAAAACCACTGATGTCCAAAAGCACAGGGCCCTATGATCTCTATGAGGCACTCTTCTGCAACGTTGCAACGGCTTGGGCCGCACCTTGGAAGAGAGTGGGATTGGAGCATCTGCTAGCAAATGCCCTGCAGGTCTAACCGCACTCTATGTCTGGTCAGCCCAGTATATATATATATATACACACACACGACATCAGCGTATCTGTCTATCTATCTATCTATCTATCTATCTATCCGTGTATCTATATTACATATGTATACATGTATGCATAGATGTGTGATATAAATACAATATATATATATATATATGTATACACATGATGCACATGCACATACCTGTTTGTGCATGTGTCTAAATATGTATGCAAGGAATACATACATGTGGATCTTCTGCATGTACATGTACATTCGAATGTTTGATTGGATCGGTGACAATGAAATTATCTCTTACACATTGTCGTGACAGGGCACACGCTGCTTCCTTGTAGATGACAACGGCAGAGCCCTTCGACACCCAGTGGACCGTGGCGATTTCACCTCCGTACTCTCCAGCTGTCACGGCAAGCAGCATCTGGATGCCAATATCCAAGTCATGAGTGTTCATGCTTAATTAATTTCACGTTCCTATATCATTTTCCCTCCATCTACCAACATCCTTGCTTTCATGCAGGGACAGGCCACTGTAATTTGATTTGGATCGAGTGTGTTTCTTCAGCTTGGCCTAAACCCTGATTCGGAGGTTCAACACATAGCACCTAACAGCCTAGCAGCATGTTTGGCAGCTCTACGAGTGTGGGTTTGTGCCACTGTGTGTCCCCCCAATTTTTTGGTCTCCAAACAGTGCGCAGCACAACGCCTGCTTGGGACATGTGCGCGATCAGCTGCTCATCTGTGGTTCCAAAGTCGAAGCCTCGAACAAACACTCGGCCAGAACCTGCCGGGGGCAGGCAGAGATACGATCGACGCTGACTCTTCTGTCTTCTTCGCGCTCCGCAGGAGCACTCGATATGATACAGACCGAAACGTTGAATTGGCTCAAGAAAAACAAGCCTGCAAACGACTCTAACTGTGGAACGGCTTGCAATGTTCCAACATCCACAGGAAATTCCGGAAATCATGCACCCGCTCTGCTTCCGGAACCATAGCATCACAGAACTCCTGCGCAACTTTTGTGAACAGTCGTTCCAAGGACGGGGGACTTTAAGAAATGCAGGAACCTGGTGGGTGACCCCTATTCTGGGAATCCCCATATTTCGGCCTGGGGGGTCCTCCTTCTTGTCGCTCTTGCCCTTGCCTTTTCCCTTGCCCCAATATGCCCGGGCGAAGTTGGCATACCAGAACTCAGCTTGCGCCGAGGAAATGCGGAAATCTGATCACAACATGACTGCTCGCTCGACACCAGGACGGGAGCTTTTGTAAACAGCATCACCCTGGCCCACTCTGACGTTGAGAGTCGCAGACTCTGACGGACAGTACATCGGTTGGGGTGTAAGTTACGAGGTTTACAAAAGCCAGAAGAGTTCCATCGGCAGCAGGCCGTGCTGTCAGGCGGCCATGGGCATGCCCTTAGTGAACTCAGGCTGGAGGTCACGAGGCGGTGACACGGACACACGCACTGCGAATCGTAAGCTGCTTACACAAGGGCTTGACTCGCCTGTACATGCCTTTCATGCAAGAGAGAAGCTGTAATCCCCTGATGCATCGCTTCTGCAAAACCCTTTGTCATGCTGGACGAAAAGCCGAAAATACCCAAAAATCATCGCCCAAGCCGCCATCATCATCCGGCGGGGGTCGAAATTGTCGTCCTTCTGCATCACATCCTTAGGACGCTGAAGGCAGAGCTGAAAGGTTTTATGCGGGTCCTACTGAAAGGATCAAGCGAATTAGGATGCAGGCTACCAAAAAACTTAAATAGAAAATGTGTCCATTATTAATTAAACTACGCAAAATAAGCCAAATATATTATATGGCCTCAGAGCCTAAACACCCAAATCTGAAACAGGTAATCTAAAGCTATTGCCACTCTGGTGAGTTGCCGTTCTTCATAAGGCGACCCTGAAAGAAAGCGACGCAGCCCTGTGCCCGTCATGATGATGAAGAAACACAATGCTTCAATCTGGAGGCTTTGTCGTCCAAGGGGCCGAGCAGTGCTAGGCTCTATACTTTCAATAACTTTGGACAGGCGGTGTCAAAGAACCACCGAGATTCGATGAAGCGCTGGTTGCCTTCGATCGTCGACTTGTTCAGGAGCGCGGCAGCATTCTCCTTGGTTCTCGAAGCTTTGCTGGGCCCGGGGTTTTGGCCTGGTCTCACAAGCACCGAAAGTACAGCAAAGTAATCTCACCGCATGGCACCAAGACTTCTTTGAACACCCAGCCCACACCTTTCTTCAGCACATCCTGAAGAATTAGTAGCAGCTCGACTCCTCTAACAACCAGCCACAGACAATGCTATATAGCTACACGTTGTCATTGTCATTCTTTACACTCATTGCAGTCGGCACAAGGAAAGCACTTGTGAGCTTCCGAGTCTCCGCCTCCTGCGCGGAGCTGTAGGTGACAAGGGCAGAGCCCTTCGAGATCCACTGTAGGTTCGCCTTTCGGTTTAGAACCGTTTGGGTTTAGGGTTTGGTTTTCGGATTTTAGGTGTGAAGGGATTAATTCAAGAACCCCATCCAACAAAAATCTGACTATAAGATGTTCATGTGGGCGCTGCACTTGTGCACCAAACAACATGGGTTGGAAGGGCGGCTTTTGCCGGTGCCGGACTACAGACGTTTTTCCTCCACAGAGGTGGCACGTCGACCGAACCGCGCAACTGAGAAACAGTAAGCCTGGATGTGCTGCTGCCCTCCAGAAACTGAAATTCTGGGCACCCAAACCACCATCGATGGAACCCTCGCCACGAGGCCTCAAACGGGCCTAAGAGCCTGCAAGACAAGTCTCTGTTTATGCAGTATAGCCTTCTCTTCCAAAGCCAGTATGCGTGGCTAGGGTTCTTTCTGCACGTGTTCATGTAATTTATCGATCCACCCGTCGCGCAAAACCTCGATGCGACACAACTTGGCGCGACTATACTTTTTCTGTCTGTAACAAAATATATTCCGTTATATCATATTAGCCAAACACGCCAAGCGACAATTGTTCCGGCTTTGGAGCAATGCGCCTTCAACCTCGACAGCAGCAAGTTTCTGCACGTGCGTTTACATGCGAAGATGCACTCTTTCGTATGAAAGACGGGACAATTGGGCTGTTAAAAGCACCGAAAAAAACAGCGCGAAAGATCGAAGCGTTCGAGTACCCATGATCCAGTAACCGACTGCAGGTAACTGGGCTCGAAGATCAGCTCCCTTTTGCAACAGGGCTCGTTCCCTTGGTACACCTGGGTCTGTGCATACGCAGGAAACCATAAAGCCTAAACCCTCAAATTGTAACACCATTTATTCTGTTGAACCCTACCTGCACCCCAAAAGCCTGTGGAATAGGGGCATGTTATGGGTGAGGCGCAAATATGTTACCTACTTCTGAGGGTTCGGGTACTACCCGTAACTCTAAACCCTCAAATTGTAACACCATTTATTCTGTTGAACCCTATTTTACCTACTTTTGAGGGTTCAGGTACTATCCGTAACTCTAAAGCCTCAGATTATCCACTGCACAGCTCCTCAACCCTAAACCCTAAACCCTAAACCCTAAACCGTGGCAGCTCCTCCCCCCGATCTCGACCGGGTAGCTGCTCGTCGGTGGTTCCGAAGTCGAATCCGCGAACGAGAACTTTGGACCCAGGCTTTCCGGCCGTCCTCCGGGTTTAGGGTTTTTAGGGTTTAGGGATTTAGGGTTTAGGGTTTTTAGGGTTTAGGGTTTCGGGATTTAGGGTTTAGGGGTTTAGGGTTTAGGGGTTTTTTTTGTTTTATCACCTCTTTTCCCTCCGCCTGAATAGGGTTTAGGGGTTCGGGGTTTAGGGTTTAGAGGCTCCGGATATCGGAGCTTCATCGGATTTCTACACGTTTTTTCCCCCTGCTACCTAGCAAGGACGAGCCCGCGTTTCTTCCTGCAGGGTTATAGGGTTTCTGTAATTTCGGGTCTTTTCCCTCTCGCATGGCAGAGAACTATGCTCACAAGCGAGGAATTTAGGGTCTTAAGGTTTGGGGCTATCGAATTTTAGGGTTTAGACTTCTCATACAGGAACCAAGCTACGCGAAGAGAACTGGAAGCATGGTACAGGATGCTATACCCAGCAGTGACGAAACCTACAGGCGCTTACTCTGCACCGACATCATTGCAGAGCGGGTTCCATCTGACCCCTTAACATAGGGGCCCTAATAAAATTGTTTTTTTGGGGGGGGAGATATTCTACTAGAATCATAGTAAGGAACGCAAAATCGTACTAACAAGGTTCAACTTTCAAGGGCCCTCAAGTGCCCCAAATGAGTTCATGTCATGTTGAGGCAAGCGGCGGGTCATCGTCCAGTTTCACCTCCTGGGCTCATGCTTCGTGCTGCCGCAAGGCTCTCTCCGACACGTCAGGAGCAGCAATGGCAGCAACAGGTAGTGGAAATGGTCACGAAACAGCATCCCTTACCATAGCGACTGCGTCCTGACCGAGTTTTCAAGAGGAGCGAGACGAATCCTAGTCAGTCCTAGTCTGGAAGCTCGACAAGGTGTCAAGTGCATCTACTTCCTACAGCTGCAAAAAAATCTGCGAAACCAGTTGAGGAGAAGCCTGCTGGTGCGGCAAAAGTTTCCACGAAGCGCTTGTTGCCCGGCACGATGCTGCGATGCAAATTCAAAGAGGCCTGCCGCTTGGTTCATCCAGGGCTCAGAACTGTGCTCACTAGTTGTTCCATGGTTGCACCACAAACGTGCAAGATTATTGCATCGAATTTTGCTTATAACTGACGAGCGTCTCGATTGAATCAACCTTCTTATGCTCACTGAAAGGTCAAGAGCTGTTCGTCAGCGGCAGGCTACAAACCGACGTTTGCAACATCACCAGAACTTCCTCTCTACTGCTTGTCAAGTCCGGAACACGGCTGGCCTGAGCTCCCTCAGCTGCTGCGAAGGTCACAGCAGCAGCACCTGCTTGTGGAGCTATCAATGCCGAGCTGGAAGTCTTCAGCCTTACACCTCCGGCAAACCTCCTCGTAGAAGGCCTTTGCCTATCAAAAGGCAAAGCCACCTAAACACCTGTCTTGGTCCACCTATGCTCATCAACCAAGAACGTGCCACCGTACCACAAGACAAAAACACATCCGGATTTCTGCAAGGCCTGGCTCCAGAACCATCCACCTCATCAGCATCATCATCATCATCATCGCCATTACCATTAACCATCATGATTACCGGCTTCGTCATCATCATCTCCTTTATCCGCTGCAGCATCATGCTCCATAAGACTGTCATCATGGTGATCATGATGACTACAGGCATCACCAGTAACCGAACGAGTAGCATGAACATACAAAGCCGTCAGTCATTTAATTGTTTTTGAAGCCTAAACCCTAAACCCTGAACCCTAAACCCTAATCCTTAAACTTTGCCATTCCTGCGGCCTCGTCCCCACAACTCCACGGAGGTGACAGGGCCGGCCTTCGTGGGTACTTCAGGGTTTAGGTTTTTGGGCTTAGGATAGGTTTGAGGGTTTAGGGTTTAGGATGAAGGCTCTAGGGTTTCCGGGTTTTCAGGGCTTAGGGCGCAGTTGAGCTTCCTGGGTTCCTGAAGCGACGGCAAGTCTTCATGAACATTGAATTGCAGGGCTCATGGGTTAGGGTTCAAGGGTTCCCTTATAGGGGTCTATAAAGGCTACTATAAGGGTTTAGGGTGTAGGGGCTTCATAATTAGAATAGGGTTTCGGGGCCATTGTACTGCAGATGGTTTGTTTCACGGTAATCACGCGTACTTCGTTATACACGATTCCCAGAGCCCCGAACTCCAATCGGAACGCTCAGCCGCCTGGGAGAAGTGATCACGGAGCGCATCCTGCACTTTTGCTGGGTTCAGGTGCCGGCCAAAGGCTTGGCAAGAATTCAATTCGGGCACACTTTCTGCCACTGTTGTTCAAGGGTGAGAACAACTGTCCTATGGCCATTGCCATCGCTACAAAATCCGACGACACAACTGACAGTCACAACCTGACACTTGGATCCCGTCCTCCGAGGTACCGAAATCAAAGCCGCGCACGTACACTCGATGGCATGGCTCCTTGCATTGAAGGTTTCAGTGAAAGCAAGGTGTTGAAACGTGTGGATTCTCAAGGACATGTTTCATTGCTTTCGAAACTTGAGATGTCGCACGACCGTCGCCGCCGAAGCCATGAAATCAAGGTCTCAGGATAGCTATGGCGAACCAGCTATCAGCTATCCAAGCGCATGGAGACAAGCATGTTGGGCCAAGCAGCCTCGGCCATCGTTGGAACTCTACGTACCGCGGGGGGCGAAGGTCGGTGTCGAGATGTCGAGCCACGATGAGCTTCAGGAAAACACACTGCGGAAGTCGTGTTAATATCTGACTTAACCCCAACAAACCCTAACCAAACTAATCCCTACAATCCAACACCTGATCCATCCCAAGCAGCGGGCGCAGATGAAGCACTGCGGCAGAGAACAGCAACTTAGGGGCTGAGTGCCCTAGCCCAAGGGTTTAGGATTTAGGGTGGGTTTTGTTCCCTCTCGCATGGCAGTGTGGGTTTAGGGTTTAGGGTTTAGGGTCTATAGTGAGGTTATACGAGCCCAGGCAACACGAGTCACCGCTCTGAATCTCAGCTCCGGCCTGAGCATGTCAGCCAGAGCGATGGGACATCATGGCTCGACTGGCCAGCCTCTATAAGCATATATATATATATATCTCTTTCTCTCTATTTATTTACTTAGTTATTTATTTGTTTATTTATCTTTTCAGTTATATTTATGCACAGTGGCGTACATACACACACACACAGAAAGCGTCGCACTACAGGCCTATATATACATATATACATGTATGTATTCTCCCAGGTTCGCTCTGTTGTTAAAGGCGTGCCTCGGGTCAAGTTACTGAAGCTCTGGTTTTGTTTGCGCAGCTGCAGATCATGGCGTCATTAGGTGGCAAACTGGAGCCTCAGAGCTGATCCAAGCACTTCCGTTGAACATGAGATGCAACAACGGAGTTTTTTGGGGCTTAGGGCCTAGGGTTTATAGGGTTGCAACAATGGCAATCTGCAGAGATTGAGATGCAAATAAGGACAGACCAAGGGCAACATGGACAGACCGATCTTTCTGTGTTTGGCCCGAGGCCGTCTCCGTCTGCAGAAACACCGCGTCTTGTCAAGGCATGTTACGCCATCTGAACGAATTCAAAAAATGTTCAAACTCGAGCTACTGTCGATGCGTCACAACTGGTCCACATAGCACACGCTTGATTTGCCATTCGGCAGGGGCCGACAACAACTTTTGCCATGTCTCAACATCTGCTCAACAGGCCAAGGTGTGGCTCTTCGGTATTTGGCTCCTATCATGAGAGAGGGACTTTCCGCTTAAAAGCCGAAACAAAACAAGCGCATGCTGCTCAGGCACGCAATCTTGTGTGCATGCAGGTGTTGATACTCTCATAAGGCAGCTGCGCTTTTGCGGTGGCCAAAGCACATGAGAGACTGGTATAACTTCAGAAAGCTGCAACACTGCCCTTAGGGCATGCTGCGTAGCTTGTTCCTGTTTTCTAGACCTAAGGAGCTTAACCGCCTGGATATCTACTTCAGGCTCGCTCTTTGCCACTTGTTAACATAGCCTTGCTGCCATTGCTACAAGGAGCGAGAGCCGGAAGACGCACGGTGAATTAGAGCACAAGCTCCCCCATCGTCTCGACTGCAGCTCCTGAAAATAGCAACTCTAGAGGCTTTGGGTTGCGCCTTCTGGCCCAATTCAAACCACATGTAAGCAACAGCGACATACAGCGAATGCAGAAACCCAACCCCGACAACAGTTCATTATGCTTGGAAACACTGAGGTACCCAAGCGATTCTCACGTCTCAAGTCCTCCTACTTCTTGGACATCGATTCTGAGGCATCCCAATCGGGAGGAGGCGGCTCACGCAGAAATTTGTCCTCAAGTTCGCAATGACCATGGGCTCTCGGTCAATGCATGAAGACGGGTCGCATTGCAGAACTGACATACCTTTGTAAACACACACTGACATATGTATATGTGCATATGGACATGTATTTGTATCTATGTACCTGTGAATACGTATGTCTGTATGTATGTATGTATGTATGTATGTATGTATGTATGTATGTATGTATGTATATATGTATATATGTACGTATGTATGCATACATTTCTATGCATATGTAATGTGTATATGTGAGTATACGCATACACACATACATACATACATACATACATACATACATACATGCATACGTAAATGCATACATACATGCGCACACACACACACACATTCAAACCTACATGCACGAACGAACACACAGACACACACACACACACGTTGTCATGTGTCTGTAAATGAGAGTATATATGTATATATATTCACATACTTACGCATATGCGTTTACGTATACAAACAGACATATGTGTATGTCTGTGCACATACACGTATGTATGCATGCAACGGAAACCGCAGAGTTCTTCAATTGATACGTGCTGTTTCATATGTACACACAAAACTAGATACCTACTTACCTACATAACATAACCTAGCATAACATAGCACAGAGCAGCATAGAATGACATGAAATACACTGGCATGAGCTCCAGATCGGATGAGCCACCGAAAGCATGGCGGCCTATGTGTCAGTATAGACATGATCTTCGATCGGAGTCTGAAGAAAGCTACGGAATGCCACCATTGCACGGTGGGATTGCCAGAGTATGAGACGCTACGTAGTGCTAGAGCCAGGGCTGGAGAGTGGAGCAATTCATCACCAGGATTGTCGGCCGAGAGGCGCAAAGGTGCAGCAGATGCTGGGACGGAACGTCCACGCTGCCTTGCCGGCCACGGAGGCTGCGGCACACCTTCCACGGGCAGATGGCTGCATGTGGATATCATGGGAGCGTGCACATACATTCTGTCCCACATACACTGCTGCAATACTCGAGGCAAGACAACATACCCAAAACGAAAGCCAGCCACTGGCTTGCCCAGTCCCTGAATCCGATGGACCCGAGATGAACTTCGGAATCCCGAACTCACAGACAACGCCTTGCAGTCTTTTCAGTCTGGCTTCTGATTTGACACTCGGACTGAGTCTGCTTTTTTAGGGTTCAGGTCCAGGTCCAATTCGCCGACAATGACCCCGGACCCGCAGAGCCTCAGACAGCAGCGGACGCGCTTCACCGAAGTGCCGATTCACGAAGAGATCGAAAGCTTTCCTGCAAGCCAAGTTTTATGGCAGGTGCAACAGCAGAGGGGTTCGAAGCTGGGTTGCTGAAGAAGAGTTCACAAATGCCCATGCTTCCCCAATGTGCAACACGGGCGGCCTGTGTATGTCGTAGGTCTTGGCCAGAGCAGATTTCTCCGCAGTACGACGCGCGCGGACCTCCCAAACCTTCATGCGGGCTGCAGTTTACGCTCATAACTCGGACAAGCCAGGCGAGGTTCCATAAGTGTGGGTTCCCTGACTGCGACTATGCAAGAAACAACACAGTACACACTCATCCACTCCAAGACATGCAGACTAGTCTGCAAAATCTGGCTTCGAGGTTACAGATTCGGGTTTAGAGCTTCCGCCTCGAAGTTTTGGGGCTCAAGGCCCGGGTTCTCGAATAGCGCTGAATGCCTATGCACGGGGTACGCCCTCCTGCAATGTAGAATCGAGCCACGGCGATAGACTCGGATATCTTTGCTTGAAGAAGCCACGACAGACTAACATTTGCCAGGATTGGGTGAGACTGCAACTCATGTCTGAGCGCCACTAAAATCACCACAATCAATACTGGTTTTATTGCCGCGAAACCACTGTCCTAGCGATGTAGTGACTGATTGACCTACTCTCTTACTTACTTGCTGAGATACCTCCTCCTTTCATCACTACCACCACCACACCACCACCTACTACTGCCACTGCGACGACGACTGCTAGTATAGCGGCTTAATTAGAGTTGGGTCTTGGGGTACATTATGCACGTCACTAGCATAAGAAAGCTCAAAATAGAATTGAGGCCCTACAAATTTCTTCTTCAACCGCTTCGGGCCTTGGTCGCAGACTTCCGGCCCTTGAGGATGAGGTTCCCCACGGGCCGGGCCACGAAGGTCTTGTGCAAGTCGTCTGCCTGTTTTCATGGCCCAGGGACTGTAGGTTAGAAAAAGCGTAGTTGTACAAGTCTGTTTGTAAATAAAGTGTAGGCGTTGGAATTTGAGGGTCTGTTGGGATTCCATGAGGTTTGGGGTGTCGAGTCGCTGTCGAAATCTGCAATGATCGGGAGCAACTGCATGGCCTCCTCCAAGCACTCGTTGGAAACCAGACAGGATGTGCCAAAGTGGGAGTTGATGCTCCTGGTTCAGATTGCACACCCAGCTTACAGTGTCTGAGTGATGCAGTGCTACGAAAACACACCCTAGCACAGCAAAGTGCGGCATTCAATTTAGAAAGGGTGGCGCACACATGAGGTGCATACAGTTGGTCTTCCTACAGTTGCTGCATCACCAGTAACATCTAGTAACGCAACAATAGTCGTAATGAGCCATCTCGCTGTTATAAGTACTTTTCGCTAATAGCACGCAGAATTTAATCGGCAAATGAGCCATCCTATTGTCACTTTATATGTGTATATATATATATATACATATACATCTTATATATATATATACATCTTATATATATATATATAGGTGTGTGTGTGTTTGCTATGAAAATGTGTACGCATATATTTATAATCACAACTAATCCATCCATTGAAACAAGTCGCATGCATGCACGTACGCAGACAGGTAGGTCGGTCGGTCGGTGGGCAGGTGGGCGGATGGGCGGGTGGTATCAGTGTATGTCGCGTGCATCAGTATATCTATATAGATAGAAAGAGACAGTTATACATACATACTTACAAGATAAGGAAGGAAACTCCTCGCATCCAGCTTCAGCTGTGAATCCATGAATTGTCTACGTGGGCAATGGGATGCAGGACTCCCAAACTCTGCCGAGACTCTTCAACCGTGCAGCCACATTCACGCTGTCGCCCAACACGCCATACCTCGCACAAAATAGCAGGAAAGCACGATCACCATTCACACAAACTAAATGGCTGTGACATAAGCACACATTTCGGGAACGCCGACTACTGGCGACCTTTCAAGCGAATTTCCATGCTTTGGGCGCGAGTTTTGGGAGCAGTACTGCCAGCAAACTCCATATAACGAAAGAGCACCTCGCAATCCAATGCCTACATACCGAAGGGCTCAAGAACTAAGAGCGCTCCGTGAGGCTTGCAAAACCACGCCATGAGTCTAGGAGTCTAAAATGCGACCGTAATGTAGGGGGTCTTAATAGTTGTAATAGGGTTTTGGGGCCCACTATACTATACTCATAATAAGGAACCCTCCAAAATAGTTTTGGTAATTATTTAGACTCAGACCCGTTTATTACGCGCCTCGCTGGCCTGGCAATCTACAGTAACACCTCCTCCCAACAAGAACCCTGTAGTCTTGCCACAGAGTTGTCGGAGTTATCCACAAATAAATACAGAGATATACATATGCATGTACTTACGTCGCAATATAGTCATATCGTCATGAGGCATGACCATACTGCACCATCATCGGAAGCCATCAACAGGCAAACGAAAGCCATGCGAGAAGTGAGGAATCATTTGGACAAGAATACCTCCGATGAACTGAATCCACGTTCGCCCGAACTGCTTCTGCATGCTGGGCAATCACAGGTGTATCTTGTGAGAAGATCGCGCCCTGCACTTTTCAAGGCACTGCACGCAGCCCAGCATGGCATAATGACTGCTTTTATGGGTTGAGTAAGTTGCAGCACCTGTGATCTCGGTCTTGTGTTGTCAAGTACAGCAGCTTCTTACCGAGGAGTCGTACGTGGCCAACGAAGCATGACAAGCTGCGACACTGTGAACAAGGCAAGTGAACATTCAACCTTGATGCCTCGTGGGCCGTGCTACCAGGGACACACAGGCGTGTTTCGGCATGTCAACTTGTTCAGCCTGTTCTGCCCTTCAGAAAAGTATGGCAGAAGGGTGCAGCCCAAGTCGAAACCGCAGCACCGAGGCAGTCTCGAAACTTTTTCAGCACTTACCTGCCAAATTTCGCAGAGCCTTGTACCAGCAACGACAGCAAATGGTCACGACATAAAAACCTCCCAGTTGTCACACACCAGTGGCTGCGATCAGCTAAACCCTTAACCGAGATGCTTGATGCGCGTCTTCGACCCGATGTTGCCAACCAGGACCTGCTCCGGGGAGGGGTTCAGGGGTTGAAACGGCGAGCTGTCCAAAGTGCTTTTGACTTTTGAATTCAGAAGATGAGGGTTGAGGGGGCGCGGAGGTGTTTATTATTCTTATCGCTGGTAGTGTTGCTATTTCTAATTTTACCGAGAGAAGGAGAGAGATGGATGACGTAGCAATGCACAAGACGGCTACACCATACATGTACCCGCATGCGCATGTGGGCGATGCAATGCCCAACGGTAAGAAGATTACTTATTGTAGTCGGGCTTGCTTCGATCTGCAGCGACAAACGCCAAAGCTGTAACCCACGGCTCAACACACAAACCTGAGACAGAAAGACCACTGATTCCACGGCCACGACATCCCAAACCACACCAGTCAGAAGGCACTGGCAAGACCGTCACAGCGATATTCAGGCCGACCTGGCGGCCTTGCAGGCATCCACCAGTCATAAACCAACTTGAAACCCCAGATATTCATGGCTTTTTCGCCGTGTCCCGTGAGTGGCGCTGCGCCTTCCCCGAGTGAACGCCGCAGCGCATGCGGACCCCAAGGCGCTCCACGCGCTCAAGGACATCCTGATCGGCTTCGCCATGAAAACAACGATGAACAATTCTGCCCTCTTCCGGTCTTTGCCATCATCACGACATATCACGATTTGCGGTAGTGCTGCTGCTGGTCTTCACTGCTCCATCATGACCGCAACTCTCTTTTTGCCTCGCTTGCTCTGCCGTACTCACAATGACATTGTTTTTAGGTTTCTAGCATGCTCAATACCGTCACGTACTGCAGCGACTACGACTACTGTTACAGTCGCACCTGTACTACGATCGCTTGCTTGGCGATTAGCATACTTAGTAGAGTTACATCGATCAGCACTCATTTGACTCATATGTATATGTGCCTCCGTCATGGCATGGGGGCTGGTGGTGGCGGTGGTGCTGCTGGCCGGGTGGCAGTGACACAGGTGCTGTTGCTGAATGGTCATGGCGGGTGAGTTGTCGTCGTCGGCGGTGTCGGCAGCGAATGCTGAATTCGTCGAGGTACTGTCGCAGCTTCGGTGGCATGCTCCTCGTGGTCCACCACCTTCCGTGCAGGCTTCTCGGGTGGTACGTACCACGAGCTCTTGAGCCGACCTCAGCCTCCCACACCATCGATCCGATCCCATGCTATGCTCAAGCTTTTCTGCAGTTTCACTTGCATGCATAACAACTTCATGCTTCTGGCAACTTGGGCCTCATTCGGGGCATTGAAGACGGCGAGGACCTTGCGCCGCGCACAACGATTCTCCAAGTCTATCGCAACCGATTCATGGAGAGTCGCTTTCGGATTCGGCTCGGCTTTGCCCTGCGGGCCTCGTCCGCGATGAATTCGAGCAACGTCCCGCCAAGGCCCTCAATCGCACTGGAAACCTCCGAGCACACAATCACTGCGAAACGGCATTGTCATTGTCTCAGCACCTCGGACTTCACCTGGTGGTCGACATTTGCAAGGTTACAGACTAAGCTGACTAACCCACGAATCCTTGTACCCCACAGATGCTGCGGTCCTCCCCATGGACGGAGCTCAGGAGGTCCAGCACGGCCTTTCAACTCACGTCTCGATGTGCAGCGGCTTCATCCATACAATAAGAAACGTATACGACTCTACGACCCGCATAAAACAACGGCACAGTGCCTCCGACTCTTCTCCTTTGCATCATGAGGTTTCGGAGCTTGGTACAGCCTGCCTTCGGGTGGAGGCCACGGCACATGTCCCGGAAGCCATCAATGTCACCTCAATGTGTTCTTTGCTGCAGTGAAGCTGGCCTCAAACACCTCCTCCGACATGTGCATGTACATACTTCTTGCTTCTGTGCCGACGTAATATCTCATGAAACCATTTCGTGAACTCAGCTTGCCATCCAAGCCCAGCCCCACTCTGTGTAAGTGTACTTAAAGGATCATGTGACTTAGTAAGTAGGGTTATAATTAGGCTAATTAGGGTAACTATACTTATAACCCCAATTAGGGGACTTATAACCTTACTTACTAAGTCCCATGATCCTCCAAGTAAGGGCACTGTGGGCCAAGTCGCAGAAGAATATGCTGACCTCATTCTCGTGGAAGCCCACCGTTGCCTTGGGCCAATCTCTCCCTGAACCCTTTTTTGCATCCGGGCTTGAGAAGTCGGCCGGGGAAGGTGACACCTGAACCCTAAACCGAGGTTCCCCAGTAGACCATTGACTATATAAGCGTCCCCTTTTTTCCACTATTCGGTTTTGATAAGGTAACCCTACAATACAAAAAGGCTAAAAGACACTACCGGGGATCCTAGAAACCCTACCGCAAAACCCCCGGCTTCTCTCCTTCTCCCTCTTCTCTCGGGCTCAGACCCAGAGGCTCCTTGTCTTCCTGGCCTTCTTCAGCTTAGGCTTTATAAGCTGCTCGTAATACTAATGTAGGGGCCTTCCTAAGTAGAATAGGGTTTTTCGGGTATATTGTACTATAAACTATACTAAGGAACCCCCAAAAAAGTATAGGCCTATACTACAGCACCGACTTGGCAGAGGCTGCGCTCGGATCTGGGTTTAGGGTTTTAGGGTTTAAGGTTTCGACTCTCACACTCGCACACGGCCGGCAAGGCTCCGCATAGGGTTTCGGGTTTAGGGTTTATTCTAGAGGTTTAGGGCATCTCAGCGCCTGGCCTCCACTCCAGATCTGTACCTGGTTGGGTTTATGGCTTAGAGGGCCAAGGGCTCTGTGCCTGGTGATCAAAGTGGCAGGGGACAAAAGGGACACTTTGCAACGTGCGCACCGCCTTTTAATGGAAAAGGATCGCTTCGATCGGCCGCTTCTGCTGAATGAACCCTTTCGAACAAATCTCGCTCAGAAGAACCATTGGATTCTGTGTCAGAGCTGGGTCGAGTCGAGTCCACAATGGAAACATGAAAGAACACATAAACTAATGCACCCAGGAACACCAGTGTCTGTATATGCGGTTATGCCAAGATTACACGTACACGTGAAAAATATCCAGATGTCTACCTACCCAACTATGTTTGTATAACTACATCTGTGTCTATCTATCCATCCATCTACCTACCTGCCTACCAGTATCTACCTTTGCTGCCACGGGACAACGATTTGAGCAGATACGGTGGCACGTACTTGGCCCAGGAGCGCAGTGCAGCACGCATGGTCGTAAGAGAACAGCGCAGATCCTGGGCTTGCAGTGAACCGCTACAAACAAGAATGAGATATAACACAATTGGTTTCAAGACCAGCTTCAGCTGCCATTCTGGTCTCCAAGAAAGCATTCGCCGGCGGGCTATTGGGCTTCCAATCACTGTCAGTGCTTTCATGATGATTGCCTCTGCCCCACCGCTGGATGCAGCAAAGGGGCTGCGAGCTCCTTGACATCATCATTGCTCCTTACACGGTCATGGGGAGCTGTCGGTAGCTTTGATCTGCGGTTTCAAGCGCTCTTATGTGGTTCATGGACACTTCTAGGTAGGGTTATGCATACCTTCATTGGGGTGATTTAAGGCATGAGCTTACTTAAACTACCCGTACCAGCACCCAGCGAGCTCCCAAGCCGTGCCCGTGCCTTAGTTTTCCAATGGCTTTTAAAAGGCCCATACCCTCAACCCCTGGACCTCAAAAGCCCTACTGAGCCTTACTGGAAATGTGAAACCACGGGCTATCCCTTGCTGGAGGCCAAGCTTCTCAGACTTCTCCTTGCAGAAGGGAAGGCGCATGGTGTAGCGGATGAGCCCTCGGCAACAGGGCTTCGGATTGGGTGTTACCACTACTAAGATTTCCAGGGATTGGGATATGGGCGGGCTTCGGGAGTGTAGGGTATGGGGGGTTTGGGGATCTGGCGCTTGGCGGTTTAGGATTTCGGGCTTTGGGATTAAGGCATTCAGAGAGTCGCTTTCCATAAGCGGCGGCGAGGAGCTCTCCACTTTTGACTTTAAAGGCATAGGGTGTATAGGGTTTCGGCTCTCACACTCGGGCAATGCAGGCGAGGCTTGTGGTCTGAAGTCGGCTTTGGGTGAGACTAGCTGGAAACAGAAGTGTATGGGGTTTAGGGGTTCAGGATTTAGTGCTGGGTTGATTGATGTTGACGACAGTGCGATCCGTTTGTGTGCAGCTTGTTCCACCTACCAAGATAAGTTAGCCTGAATAAATGCACACGAACATCCAGTAGCAGTCAGTAGGGAGACCGTGACTACCAGCTACCATGCTTCGGCTGTGCCTCAGCTTGCAGCAAACAAGGAAAGTCGGAAAGCCAAGATCTGCGCTCCGGGGGTGGTGGGTGGGTGCTTGGAAGATTGTCGCCAAGGAGCTTCTCATCCAGCCTTGCCTCTTGCCATCCCTCTGCAGATCCTGGCGTCTGTAAAGTTATATATCATAGAGATACACAGGGGCAAGGAATTCCTGAAGGGCCCTGACTACGTCTGGCATTGAGGCTGCTACCAAGTGCAAACCTCTTCAGGCGTTGTGCTTTTCTTCTCGTTGCCCATGAGCCACCTGTGTCCTACCCCAAACAGGGTTCAGTTGATTTGTCAGATAACCGGGAGGTTCGACCTACAGGTGGGCCATCTAGCCAAACTTCCAGAGACCGCGGTCCTGCACGCCCAAATCGAAAATCCAAAGCCCCTATAGCAACCCAAAGTCCGCACCCTCCATATTATTCACGCCTGCGCGTGGAAAGTCTAAAACCAATCCTGAGCCCTTCAAGCTCAACAACCCCTGAAGCACCCAGAATTTCATCCTAAACCCGTCAGGATCCGAAAATTCGTGGTCCAAGTTGAAAGAGCAACCGTAAGACCCTCAGAATACCCCCAGGCACCCCCACTGAAGCCCCAAACTCGAAACCCTAGAGCATCCTCAACTTCAAGTTGAAGCCCCCAAAACCCCTAGAATGTAGGGGCCTTCATAATTAGAATCCGGTATTGGGGGTTCCTTATTTTAGTTATAGTACAATATACCCCAAACCCTATTGAAATTATTAAGGCCTCTGTATTAAGCTCTTTCAAGGAATCCTTAAACCTCCTAGACTGCAGACCTTCCTAAATTTTCGCTCAATGCCCTTCAAAGGGATCCTATCTCCACCGCAGAAAAAGAGCCTTCCTAGTTGCCTACTGCTACTGCGAGTTAAAGTATCCAAACCCATAAAGCCTCCTACAGCTCCGATTTTTCAAAGGGATGAAACCTTAAACCCGAAACCCCGAACTCCCCGACTCCTATAGGCCCTTGAAAAAAAGGGGGGGACGGTCCTTGAGCATGTTGGTGGCAGGCTGGAAGTTCGTCATCCGGACTGCCTCCAAGGACCGAAGTGACGCCTTGGGAGAAGTTGGGCCTACGAGTCGGGGGAGACAAGGGCGGTGTTTGAGGGCTTTCTGGTACCTGGAGGGTTAGGGAATTCACAAAGTAATCAGGGCCCAGGGTTCGTCCAGGGCTTGACCGATAAAACTGCGGCTTCGGACATAGGCGAGCGGCCATATCGTCCAGAATGCTCCAGAGCGGATGCAGCATGCGAGTGTTCACCTGCAAGATGCTTTCGACAAAGCCAACTTAAAAAAGGGGATCATTCACTACAGCGGCTGTCGCTCTTGATTCTTCGAAGCCGCCCTTCGCTGAATTGTACTGTCTGCACATAAGTCAGGTCATCCCCCGCTCAGACAGTTGGTTCGGCTGGAGCCAGCCCGGGGTCCTTGTTGAGCGCGTGCATGAATGCCAGGGCGAAAACAACCATCAAGACAACCACGATGAAAGTGTAGACCTTGGGGTCGGGATGACTTGCCATCACCCCTGCGGCACAACGTCTGGCCTTCTCAGGCAGGTGCTTGCGCTGCTTTGATTCATGATCAGCGGACTGACTCAAATTCCACATCCACCCCCTTAGACTTCTGTGAGGTGAGACGGTGGCAGAATGCACAACCCTGAATCCTGATGCCCAAGCCTGACATGTCCAGTAGAGGACGCTTACAGCTACAACCGCTCTTGGGAAGCCAGGGATCCTACATGGGACCAGGCCCTAAGCCGGAAAGCTGGGGTGCTGGCAATGTCAGCCTCAGCCTCCCCTCGCACTGACTCGTGCGTGTCGAGGACCGCCACACTGGAAGGCGAACCTTTCTACAAGAAGCACAAGCCTTGGGGACTAGTGCGAAGTATCAGTTCGAAGCTAGTCATGCTACAACTCGGTGATAGCACTGACTACTGCAGTACGGTTTGTTACAAGAGTCTTGGTTTGTTGGCTCCCGCATGGCAGTGTCCGAAGACTGCTTAACACTATCCGTGGTACAAGAGTTTGCTGGAACTGCTTGGCTAGGATTGATACTGCAGGGTTCAGCTTCTAAAGCCTCCGGGACAGAAAAGCACGCGGATGGTCGGTACCCTACAACTACGTAAGCTCAACTTTGTCGATCGTCCTGTCTATACACATGTAGTCTAGGTGCACCTACACACGCACTGGCTCGCTTGCTAACTCACTTGCTAAAGCTGCTCAATGATGTGCAACTGTGCTGGTCTGGTCGCTGGCACTGACTAGCACCCGTCCTACATCAATGGCAGAACATCAGGTTCCGCTTTGCCGTGCTGCGGTGGGTTGAGGCAACGCCAGCTACACTTTCCGATGCAAAGAGGCCCGCCTGAGCAATCTTCGTTCGGATAGCAAACCTCAATTGGAGCGCGCGAAACCGAAGGCACCCTGGTATTTAACATGTGCGTAAATGTTCAGTTTGGCACGCACGTGCCAGTAGGTGATTTTGCAGGAAAAGCACCAATCTCTGCAGGACGTTGAACACGCCCGAATGGAGGGCCCATATGTGAGTTTCAAAAAAAGTGATCCTTTCCTGGACCCTGCGGGCTCCCTACGGGTACACTGTGGGATTCCTCCTTTCAGACACCCAAAGCGGGAATCCATGTCTTTAAGACGGGCCCCCATATTCTTCCTTCGTAAGCACCATGAGCTTCATGCAAGCCTGGCAGCCATTCGAAGCTCATGAGCCTGAAAAGGTGCCTTCCGCATGGCCCGACGTGCTGCCTGCCAAGCCGGTGACGATGCAAGTGACACCCTATAGGGACTTCCAGAGATTATGATGTGCAGTCCCTGCTGCTTCGACATCTACAGCTACGCCGGAGGCAGCCCATGACATGTAGTGTAGATGTGAAACTGGCCTTCAAACATAAGTCCTGATTACTGTAGGATCGGGTCCTCGGCACCGATTTCACTGTATGCTGCCTGACTCGCAGGACTGAGGGCCAAAAGGCCTATGAAAGCTTGCGAACCTTGAGAAGGACTTGCGTATGTCGTCCATATACTTTGATGCCAGCATCACTGGGCATGGCGTTGGCGGCTTAGGTTGCGCATGGAAGAACAAGACATGGCCAAATGACCAGCTTTTAAGGAGGCACGACCCGAGCTTCAACCCTTTTTGAAACCGGACTTGATGACTGCCAGCATTGCTTCTTCTGCCGTTCTTCAGCCGAGGCCCGAAAACGTCAGCACACACAAGCACTCCACTCCCTAGGATAGGCACTCCCTAAACCCGAAACCGCGTTTCAATCATGCCGGGGAAGCTTGCAGCCAGGTCCCGTCGAATTCTGCTGTGGTATTGGCTGCACAGCATTCGCAGGAATCCTGCGTCCAAAGCCTGGGCGATCAAGCTTCTGAAAACTCTTGGGTTTTTGGCTCACAATCCATCTAGTAGCATATCCCGAAAAACCCAAACCCTAAATCCCTAAACCCTGAACCCTAACTAACTAACCCGTAACCCTAAAATCCTAAATCCTAAACCCTAAACCCTAAACCCTAAAATCCTAAACCCCCGACAGCTTTGTTGAAGGCTCCGGGGCCTGGAGCTGAAAAAATTGGCGATTCCTGATGCTATCGCCTCACGATCTCCGAAAAAAGCGGTCACCCGACATGATGTAGGGGCCTTAATAATTAGAAGAGGGGTTTGGGCTCCTCTCTGATAGAATTAGAAAAAGGAATTCATTTTAAGAATAACATAGGCAATGATTTAGGCTTCTATATTAGGTCACGGGGCGCGTCAGGAATTGCAGGAAACAGGGTCTGTGAAGGATGCGTCTGTTCTTACACCCAAGGTCTCGTACTGGGACGAGATCGCAAGTTGGAGTGTTGCGACCAGTGGCGGTGGGTTTCAGTTCCCTTACCAGACCATAACAGACCAGAAGCGCCGTGGTGAGGCCATGGCACAGCTGAAAGAAAGAGAGAGAGAGAGAGAGAGAGGGAGAGAGAGAGAGAGAGACAGAGAGAGAGGGAGAGAGGGAGAGGGGGAGAGAGGGAGAGAGGGAGCCATACCAAGCCCAAGCCACTGTCACGCAGGGGACTGTCCCCCCCATTCTCGTACGAGTCTTGCTTCTCTTCGGACGATGAGCCTGATGATGAGTCTGAATCACCTCGAGGGTTTTGGGGCATGGCATTTGGGGCTTTAGGGGGCTGGTAGGGAATATGGCTTTAAGGCTTCAGGGCTTCGGGTGTTGGGTTCAATTGTTCAAAGCTCAGAGGTTTCGCGAGCCGAGACACACTTCGCAGTGTCCCCGCCACCACCGCCAGCCAAGTTGCTGTCACCGCCCTCGGCGGCGTCGCCGTCCTCGTTGCCGTCGCCATCATCGTCATCCAGGATGGATGCGGCTGCAAGTCCCGATCCTTTTCTGGGGAGTTGCGGCAACTCCGCAGGCGACCCTGCTTGTTGGCGTGACCTCTCTTGGCCAACTGAGGGGCAAACCTCACTGAAACGATGCCCGCCCTTAGAAGCTATTTTTGCTCTGGCCTCTGCCAATGCAATCTCTGACTCCGAAGGGCCCTTGGGAGTGGGTAGGTCGGGGGAGGACTTCTCGGCATCTGTTCCTGGCCTTAGTCTTGGCATCGGGCGCCTTGGCAACAGATCCTCTGCGGCCGGCGGGCGTGCTTCCGAGGCCTCAGCCTCAGCCTCACTGTGAACCGGCTGCGCACCCTGCGAGTCATCACTGACAACCAAGCATTCGAAAATCCCAGGCGTGGCGGTGGCGGTTGCGGCACTTGCCGCTTGTTCTTGCTTTACATGTGGCTGCTTGTCGGCATTGTCGCTATGGCCACGCGGCGGCATGCGTGGTCTTTTTGGTTCCCTGGACTTTGACGTCGATTCCGTTTGCTCTGCTGCTGGTCGCTTAGCCTTCTTGTTTTCACGCTTGGCTTCATCTGCAACTTCGCTTTGTGGTTGGGTCTCGGGCTTGGGCTTGGACTTCGAAGGCTTGGCCGTGGTGGATGCCAATGACTCGGTTGGGGGCAGCAGGGACCGGACGATGCCTAAAGCATCTTCTACATTTAACTGCATGTCCTGTTCCAAGGCTGGCTGAAGGACACTTTGCAAGGTGTCCTCGGCATTGCCATTGCATGCCGCGGCAAAGTCGGGCCACGGAACCTGGATCTGGTTCTTAACGATGAAGCCGGCCAGAATGCTTGCGGCTTCCTGAACCTTGGCCGTGCGATCAGGGGACGAGCGCACCGAACGCTAGCTCTTGCGCTACTCGCTCCATGTGTCATGTGTCCATGCATCGGTCGCCATATTAGCGGGATAAGGTCCAAGCCTGCTTGCACCTGTCTGGTTTATCCACCAACTCCTTTCTGATTGGCGACAATGATGTCAAACCGCTTGGGCGATGCGAAGGAGCATCAATCAGATCTTCAATGGCCCTGGACTGTTGCACTGCCCAACCAGCTAGCACAGCTGCCGCTTCGACCTGGGCCTTGCAAACACCGACAACTGCCTTCTTGTCCTCAGGCACACCCTTCTTCTCGTCATTCGCCACCAAAGCAAAAGCTGCATCGACCTGCGGCTTGAAGTCTGCTAGGTCCTGCTTTCTTGGACGCACGGCGGTCCAATGCACGACCGTGCTGCGCTCGGTCAGCACGGTTTCCGCAACAAGGAACCCTGGTGGGATTTCCAATGCTTGACCCGGACTCACTGTGGCGCAGAAGCCGCCCATTTCAAAGACTGTGATAGGACTCGTTTCTGGCAGAGCAAGGCAGGCCCCGACAAAAGAGTCGGAGTAATTTTCTGGTGCTTCCTCGGATCTTAGATGCTCAGCCAACGCACTGATCGGGACACCGGAAACGAAGCGAATCCCTTCCATGCACACGACAATCCTTCTCATGAGGAGCTGGGAAAATCCTGGGCAGAGCCGCGGAGCATACGAAGGAAACAAGAAACACACACGCCACACACACATGCAAACATGCAGCTTTAATGCATCAGAGGTTCCAACCTGGGAGAAGTGGGACTTGGCTGCCTGAAAGCGTGCGCAGCAAAGTCTGGCGGCGGCCTGCTGGATCGTCTGTCGTCCATCGCCGGCGCTGCTGAGCGCTTCATGCAAGGCTTTCCCATCTCTTGCCAAAGGCTTGCAAATCCAAAAGCTAGCCCTGAGGAAGGATTCGTCTGCGCATGTCCAGTCTCGGCTTTGGAAGCAGGTAGCAAAGGAAGCAGTCTGGGTGCACACCTTGCTTCGCGAGGATCCAATCGCATTGGGTGTCCGGTAGAACTCCTCGAACACTTCCATTGGCTCAGCAGCCAATGGCTGAGCTGAAATTCCATCGTATAGAAAAGCTCCTTTCCAAGTGTCCGCCCAAGCGATGTTCTCAGCGCTGGCACGATGCGGAAAGATCCTGACATTGTTCAGCGCTAGCACCTCCTCGGGGGCATCCTCTCTTTGAGTCAACCAATCCATGAGCGGCCACTGCCACGGCCCCTGCGGGTCATAGCGGAGCTCTTTCTTGCCGCGACCGCCATCAACTTGTTCAGCTTCATTCTCGCTCTCCTCAGAGGGATCCGGATCCTGCAGGGCTAGCGCCTCGGCCTCATCTTCGGCGTCGTGTTTGAGTCCTGTCATCGGAGCAGGCTAAATGCAGTATAGGTGATAGATCTACCACGACAACAAACATGGCACAACGGTTGAAACTATTTCACGCTCGCGGCCAAGTCGCGGATTTCCTCATCAATGGTCTCGTTGAGACCGTTCAAGGAAACTTGCACTGCATTCAAAAGGCTTCTGACAACCTGGGGCAGGTCTACAGGGTTTAGATTGCAGTTTAGATGGCTTTATTGTCTAGGGTAACGTGGCGTGACAGGTGTACTGCACTGCACTTGCACCCTCCTCGGGCCTTTCCGTACGACTTGATGTGCGCAGGGGTCAAGTCCTCAGCGCTCGTCCACGCCTGATCCAAAGTGTCAGTGGGCTCGCTCTCGCTCTCTCTCACTCTCTCTCTCTCTCTCTCTCTCTCTTTTTTCTGTCTCTCTCACTCTCTGTCTCAGTGCTCGCCGCCCGCACTGCGAACAATGCCCCTGGTGTGGCCTGCGTAAAGGCTTGCTCGCTGCTGGGGCTGCGGTCTTTGGGCGCTTCTTTCGTTTTTGCAAAGTTGGTGATCATGAGAAGCACCGCCTTCGTCTTCCCCCCTGTCGCGTCAGTCTCAGATGGAGCTTGGTTCTCACTCTCCACCTCCGCGTCCATCTCCAATTGGGTCAGCACTTCGTCGGGTACAACCCTCATCAGCCGCAGCATCTGCTTCAACGCCAGGTTCTTGTAACTTAGCCGAGACACACTACAAATAGCCTGCATGAACTTGAAAGTACGATACGTAGGTAAGAGAGGGAGGGAGAGAGAGAGAGAGAGAGAGAGAGACAGAGAGACAGAGGGACAGAGAAAGAGAGGGAGAGAGAGAGAGAGAGAGAGAGTGCAGACCATGTAATCATCTCACATGCGTCCCAAGGGCTCATCCACACTGGCCTCGAGGCCAGACGCTCTCTCGCAAGCTTGGCCGAACTCACCAATCAACCTCCGAAAATCGCGATCCTAGGCTCAAAACACAAACTATGTGGTCTGCATTTGTAGGTGCAGCTGCGACGTGCGTGCGCAATTCATCCTGAGCAACCCACAAACTCCTCCACCAGCTGTCGCCGGCTTCGAAGCGCACCGATCTTGGCAAGGTCCCGCTCTGCATCTCGGTGGCGCACGCGAGGAGCCTTCTCCTCATCGTCGGGTGCCTTCTTCCTGCTCGCACCTGCTGCCGTTGGTCGTTTGCCTCCACGACCACCGCCTCGGGCGCTTGGCCTGCCAGCTTGGACAGCCGAATCCAACTCCATGACCCTTGCTTCCATGAAGTCGTTCAAACCTCAGAAGCAAACAAGGCAGAAAAGGATTGGAGTGTGTGTGCGCAATGCGCTGGGAAACAGCACGTGCTCCGAACAGAGTCTAACACAATTCAGGGCTTTACTGGCTCAAAGCTTCCAACGCAGGCCGAAGCAGCACGACTTCTCAAAGATCGATGTGTCTTGATGGAGGGTGCCGCTTTTGAGGCCTCAGCTGAATCGTTTACCCAGCGTCCCCAACGATAACAGCGCGGGCTTACGTACCTACTCCGCAAGAGCAAGCAGAGTCGCGTTGCGCTGTCTGCGCAAGCTCGTCTTCGGTCTTTGTTTCAACTGACGATGTACCCAACGAACCGGTGTGAGAAAGCTTGCGGGTGCCGAGACTCCTGAGCAAGGAAGGAGTATTCACAGACACCATGATATAGTAGTAGTCGTAGTAGTAGTAGTAGTAACTAAGTAGTAGTAGTAGTAGCAGTAGTAGTAGTGGTAGTAGTGGTAGTAGTAGC